ATTGTTTGGAAATTTTAAAAACAAAATGACAAGAAGTGTATTTTTTTATACATATACATATAATAGAGAAAATCAAACAGCATGTGCAACATTAAACAAGATGTAATAGAGCTTAGGGAAATCTTGAAAATTAGCACGATTAATAGCTGTTATTAGAGCTTATAAAAGGGCGGGAGAGATGCTTATGTGGCAAATAATATATGACAATTTTTAATTATTTTGTTAGAAAATGAGTCTTAAGGGGAAGAAAGGAACATTTTTTTTAAATAAGCCTTAAGTTAGACTTTAGTTTTTTGTTTCTTATAAAGCCTTGAGATAGGCTATAGATTTTTTACTATTTTAAAGTATTACTTAAAGTAAACCAAGTAAAATATTTATAACTCTAAGAAATCTTTAAAATTTTTTTTAATTACTCTAGTTATGTCATTGTTTACATGAGGTATATAATGTAAAATATAAGATATTCCAGTAATTTAACCATAATTCTAATAAAAATCTTAAAATTGATAATAAAACTTGAATTACACAATCGTTTACATGAGGTAAATTATGTAAACATATAAAACTAACAAAACTCTTCCAAATAAGACTAATTCTCGAGTTATGTGAATCTTTACATGAGGTAAATTATGTAGAATATAAGATACTTCAATACTTTTTTTCACAATTCTAATAGAAATCTTCAAATTAAGAATAAAACTCGAATTACTTAATTGTTTACATGAGGTAAATTATGTAAACATATAATAATCCCATTAGTTTAGCCATATTTCTAACAAAACTCGTTAAATTAAGAATAATACTTGAATTGTGACATTGTTTACATTAGGTAAACAATGTAAAATTTAAGTTATTGAACTAATTTTTCCATAATTCTAATAAAAATCTTTTAAATGAGAATAAAACTCTCGCTAGGCAATTGTTTACATGAGGTAAATAATGTAAATTTTATAATATTTCTAGAATTTTCCATAATTCTAATAAAAATCTTAAAATTCATGTAAAAACTCTAGTTTTCCAATTGTTTACATGAGGTAAATTTATCAGTTTTATATATTTTTTTTACAAAACTCTTTAAATTGTGTAAAATCCTCGAGTTATTTAATAGTTTACATAAGGTAAACAATGTAAAATTTGAGAAATTGTTCTAAGTTTAAATTGCTGATAATACCCAAGTTAGGTAATTGTTTACATGAGGTAAACAATGTAAACAAATGTAAAAAAACTTAAAAAATTAATTTCTATTCATTAAAACCTATAAAAGTAAAACTTGATTTAAACAATACTTTACCTAAGGTAAACAATGTAAATAATTATAGTTGCAATAAAATTGTTTAAAAAAATATTGAAAAAAGCCTAAAATTGCATTTGCCTAAAAGTATGCTATAATTTTTTAGTTTATCACTTACAAAATATTGAAAAAGGTTAAAATTGTATTTGCCTAAAAGTATGCTATACTTTTTTGGTTTATTACTTATCAAAATTTGTTGATTTTTTTTGTGCTGTTTTTTAATAATCTTAATTAATTATTTCTTTTTGTTTTTCTCTCCTGCAAATCCTTCATAAATTTCGTTTTACTCCCTCGATATTTGCAGTTCCTTACACTTGCAAGCTAATCTATGCCTAAAGCTTTTGTCTAATTAAATCCCAACAACCATTAGCAACCAAACCAAACCTCATCTCACCTCATCCACCATACACTATGACAATATTGTTGGCTGAGTTATTAAGAATACTGCAAATATTGTTGCATACTTTTGTGGTTTTTTTCCGCATTTAAGGGTATGGGTATCTAGAGAGGGCTTACAAACAAAATGACATGCATAATAACAGCCTAAGAAACCCCCTTAAGAACTGCAATCATTTTCTAACAGTTGAGAGATTTTTTTATTATTATTATTAATATAAATTTTTTTCTTGCTTTCTGTGTGTGTGTGTGTTTTGCACATTTGAGATTTATTAAAAATTCTTTACACAAAGACAAAGAAAAGTAATACCCAAACATGAAGTATTACTGATTTTATTCTTTTTTTTTTTTTTTTTTTTGCTATATTATACATAAAGGATTTAATAATTTGCAAAAAGGACTTAATAATAATAAAATACAGAAGACAAAAAAAAAGAAACAAGTGCAGCAAGCTGTAGTGGTAGTAGAAATGACAAGAAATTATTGAAATATTTATATAGAAAGAAAAGAAAGCAAAAAAAAAAGAATAATATGCAGGAAATGATAATTATAATGTTTGAGTAAAAAGATAATAAAGCCTAAAAGTATGCTGCAAATTATTAATAATGTCATATTAAGCTTCTTGTCTAACATAAACCAATATATAATGCATTAAGTCACTTTAGCAAACAGCAACCAAGCATTTTATAAAAAACCAGAAAGAAAGCAAGGATAAGAAAGAAATTAAACAAAAGGATTTTTTATTAAACAAAAAACAACAAAAATGAACATTAATTTGAAAAAGCTTACATATAATACGGAAAAAAAGAAGTAAGAGTTTTAAACATTAAGCACCTAAAACTAGGCAACATTAAACGTTTATTGCTGTCTAAACTCTTAAAAAAAAAGTTAAGTGCAGTTGAAAGCTTTTTTTTTCTAAGACGATAATTCACACCTTTTTTTTGTTGTAGTCATAAAAAAATGGAAAAAAAAACTTAACTAGAGCATACTTTTAGGAGACTACAAAACCTCATATATAGACAATAATACTTTTAACAAGAGAACAACAACCAAGCAGCTGCTTTAGCCAACAACTAAAGAGGTTGTTGTTAAAGTTCTAAAGAAAACAAAAGCACACTTGTTTACAAGTGTATAACAGTGTACAACCAACAACAAAATGTCAACATAAGCTAATTAGTTTATTTAAGATGGTGGAAAATTTTGTGTAAAAAAGAGGCTCCTTAATAATATATTAAAAACAAACACATCCTTTCAAAACTTAACTACACATGCTCAAGTTTTTTTTTAGAAATTTTTTTATAGGTATGCAAGTTCCCTTTGCTCCCTCCGCCCCCCACTTAAAAAAACACCTAGCTATATAAAAAGAAATTTATATTAACGTTATTTTTATATACACATACAGTTGTTTTTATAGCTAAAAAGAAGCTACTAAAAAGTAGTCGCAGCTTTAGTAGTGTATAAGTGTTAGATACTTAAGCTTTTTCTGCTATTCATATATTTAGGTCCTTATATTGAGTAGCACAACGTTATAAAGCCTGTTTTTTTTTTTTCAAAAAAATAAAAGATGCAAGTCTATGCAAGTCTATGGCCTGTTTGTGTGTATGTGTGTGTTTATATACTTATGTTTGTTTTTTTGAGGTTAAGTGTACTTTTGTAATAAATATGTAGATATGAACAGTTGCCAATTACTTCATTATGCCAAAAGAAAAGCTAAAGAGTACTTTTGTTGCAACAACGTAACAACAGCAAAAAAAAACCTTATAAATACAAGAATAAGAAAGGTGCTTATTAATAATGCAAGCAACTTTTGTTGCCAACAAATGTAGTTATAATGCACGGATGTCTTTTTGTTTGAACAAGGTACTTGGAGAAAAAAAAGAAAAGAAATAGAAAATGTAGATAATTAAATCAAATAAGATAATTAGGGATAATGTTTTTGTTTAAACATACAAAAGGAAGTGGAAGGGGAGGAAAAAATGGCTTACAGCTGGAGTTATTTAATTGTTTACATGAGATAAATAATGTAAAATTTAAGAAATCTGGCATAATTGCAAACAAAATATTAAAATATTGCTTACAGCTGGAGTTATTTAATTGTTTACATGAGGTAAACTATGTAAAATTTGCAAAATTAAGCGGAACTTACTTGAAATGTAATAAAACTTGAGAAAAATGTATTACACCTCGAGTTATTTAATTGTTTACATGAGGTAAATAATGTAAACATTTAAAAATTAAGAGTAATTTACCATAATTATAAACAAAATTGACAAAAATTGTTTACAGCTCGATTTATTTAATTGTTTACATAAGGTAAACTATGTAAAATTTCCAAAATTAAGCGTAATTTACTTGAAATGTAATAAAAATTGAGAAGAAATGATTACTGCTGAAGTTATTGAGTTGTTTACATAAGGTAAACAATGTAAAATTTTCAAAATTGAGCGTAACTTACTTGCAATGTAATAAAAATTGAGAAAAATGTATTACATTTCGAGTTATTTAATTGTTGACATGAGGTAAACAATGTAAACATTTAAATATTAAGACTAATTTACCATAATTGTAAACAAAATTGACAAAAATTGTTTACAGTTCAAGTTATTTAATTGTTTACATGAGGTAAACAATGTAAACATTTAAAAATTAAAAGTAATTTACCATAATTGTAAACAAAATTGACAGCAATGTATTACAACTCAAGTTATTTACTTGTTTACATGAGGTAAACTATGTAAAATTCGTTATTGAATTCTTTACATAAGGTAAATAATGTATAATATTAAGAATAAAGCGTAATATAACATAAATGTAAAAAAATTGTTTACAGTTCGAATTATTTAATCGTTTTCTTGGGGTAAACTATGTAAAATTTTTAAAATGTTACGTAATTTACTTAAAGTTTAACAAAAAAATTGTGAAAAATTAATTACAACTTGATTTACCGAATTGTTTACATAATGTAAACAATGTAAAATTTCAAAAATAAAGAGTAATTTAACTTAATTGTTAAAAATTTTTTATAAAATTAACTTCAAATTCGAAAATTCATTAAACATTTTAGAACTGAAGCTTGAAACTAGAAAAGTTCAATTGTTTACATAGGGTAAACAATGTAAACAACTTAAAATTACATGTTTTTTTGTCAAATTTTTTATAAAAATTAACATGAAATCTAATTGCTTTAAACTTTTAAATATTTTGTAAAGCCTAAAGGTAGGCAACAAAATTTTAACCTAAATAAGCCTAAAAGTAGGCTTTATTTAATATTTAACAAATTTTTTAATTTCTTTTTATTTTTTCTCAATTACAGAGAATTCTACTATATACAAATGGAGAAATATGCCCGTCAAGCTGTTACCGAAGGTGTTAAATGTGCCGAAGATTTACACATTAGCGGCGATAGTGAACTCTATAGAGTATTGAATTTACACTATAATCGCAACAATCATATCGAGGTAATTATCTATTATACTCCAAATATATACCATTTATACCCTTAAAAAAAAAAAAAAAACACCAACTAATTTATATAAATTTCTTTGTGTTAAAAACAAAAGGTTCCCCAAAATTTCCGTTTTGTAGTGGAGCAAACATTACGTGAATTTTTCCGCGCTATACAAGGTGGCAAAGATACAGAACAATCGTGGAAGAAATCAATTTACAAAATTATATCGCGTCTCGATGATCCAGTACCAGAATATTTTAAATCTCCAAATTTTTTGGAACAATTGGAGTAGAACAAACTAACAAACTAACTGAAACAAAAAGAAAACATTTTTTTTTATCATAACAACACAAATAACAACAACAAACAACCTTAATCCTTTAAGCCTCTAAAAGAAAACCCTCTTAACAGGATTTTTTGTAAAACTCTATTTATATTTTAACAAAAACCAAAATGAACGAAAAAATTTATGGTTCGTAAAACTAAGTTTTGTTTTTTTGTTAAGACACGTTTAAGCCTGTTTTATAAATTATGTTTTATTTTGTTTAAATTTATTATATAATTTTAATTACAATGCCAAACATATGAAAATGAAATTTAAAAAAAATAATTTTAAATATTAAACAGGCAACCTTATATTTGAAAATAATTTTCAAAATTCTTTTTATATAATTTTAACTAAAGAACAATAACAAAATTTTCTTTGACATTAGTTTAACATTAAAATGCAACAACTAACACATGAACCGATTGTTTAAATTCATTTAAACAAACACTAGCTAAGACAACAACCTTTATAAAGAAACAAGATCTTATATACATTAAATTTAAAACAAAAAGCAAATTTAAAACCTCAAAACCAACCATAGTGTAAACTGTAAAACCTGACTATAGTTAAAATTTTAACAAAAACAAAAACATATTTAAAATATATATTTATTGATCATATATATATAAATGTTTTTTTTTAAAGAAAATTTTATATAGAAATCACTAACGTTAAAGTTAAAGTTAAAAAAAACAAGTTCTTATTAAATCCCTAACTGATAAAACCTTTTGTTCATAATTTCGTTTTAGCCAAAGAATACCAAGTTTTCTTAGCTAAAACAAAATCCTCACAAAAAGCTCGCCTAACCCCTGAACCACCCCAATACTTCATATACTTACACTCCTATACACCAACCCTCAAACCCAAGGTTGCAAAGTAAATTTTGTTTAAACTTAAAAAATTACAAAAAATTATTATAAAAAAAAAAAAAAAACATTTAACCTTTTTAAACTTAATGTTAGCATTTGTGTCTATATGTGTAATTTTATTAATTTTTAATTTTTAAATAATTTGCATAATTTTATAATTTTATCTTTCTCCTACCAAAATAATTTTGAGCAAATGTTTTTTTGAAAAACCAAAGTTTATTGTCTAAGTTTATGTTTATAATTTTTATAATTGTTATTTAATAAAATTTGTATATTTTTTTAGTATTTTAGCAGCACTTTTTTAAAGTTTTGTTTTTTATTTTCTTAAAACAAACTTTATTAAATAATTAAGGTCTCACCCCCTAGTCTTTGTTAGTTATTATTTTTTAATTTTTAATTGTAAATATTTAAAATAATTATTTTTTATAATAATAAACCAAAAAAAATATAATTTTTTTCTTTGTAATTAAGTTTAGTTAATATTAGTTTTCTTTTCTTTAAATATAAATTTTAGTTTTTAATTATTTTTTTTGATAATAAATAATTTTTCTTTGCCTTAAGTTTAAATTTTAAATATATATATTATGTTAATTTTATGGCAAAACACACACAATAATCAAAACAAAACAATGAAATATTTGATGAAAAATATAGAAAAATGGTGTTTATTTTTCCCCCTAAAAGTCGGCACATAGTCTCAACTAGGTACTAGACTATAATCTTAACAATGAACTAGACTAGTCAACTTTAGACTTAATAAAAGTCTCAACTATAGACCAGACTATAGTCTCAACGATAGACTAGACTATAGTTTCAACCAGTGACAGGACTCTAATCTAAAGTCTCATCTTTAGTTATGACTTTAGACTTAATTATAGACTACAGTATATTACTACAGTATAGATTTGATAATAGTATTAACTAAAGACTCAACTACAGAGCAGACTATAGTCTAAACTTTAGTATAGTCTCACATATGGACTTTTCATTAGTCTCAACTATAGACTAGAATATATGAGCCTGTCACAGAACTCCATTCCGATCGAAAGTGGAATTATAACTTGTAAATCAATATACTACTTATAATGTCAACATTAGACTTAATAAAAGTCTCTACTATAGACTAGACTATAGTCTCAACTATAGACCTGACTATAGTCTATAGGCTCACATATAGACTTTTCTTTGGGTTCACCTATAGTCTAGAATATAAATAGTTCCAATTATAGCCAAGACTTGAATATAGTCTCAACTATAGTCTCCTCAGTACCAACTATAGACCAGACTATATTCCCTACCATTGACCGGGCTAACGTCTTTAGTATAGTCTCACACATGGACTTTTCATTAGTCTCAACTATAGACTACAATATAAATAGTTCCAATTTCTGACTATAGTCAAGACTAGATTATAGTCTCAAGTATAGTCTCCTCAGTATCAACTATAGACCAGACTATATTCTCAACCGCAGACCGGGCTAATGTCTTAAGCATGGATCATAGTCTTAACTATGGACTGGACTATAGTCCTAACTATAGAATAGATTGTGGACTCAACTATAAACTCGACTATAGACTAAACTATAGAGTAAATGGTAAATTGAACTACTCACCAGACTATTGTCTCAACTATAGACTAGACTATTGCGTTAACTATAGACCTGACTTTAGTCTTACCTACATACCGGATTATGATCCTAGATCGGGCTAATGTCTTAAACATGGACCATAAACTTAAGTATGGACTGGACTATAGTCCTAACTATAGAGTAGATTGTGGACTCAACTATAGACTAAACTGTATTCTCGATTATAGACTAAACTATAGAGTAGATAGTAAATTAAACTACAGACCAGACTATAGTCTCGACTATGGACTAGACTAATTCGTTAACTATAGACTGGTTTATAGCTATATACCGGATTATGATCTTAACTAAAGACTATACTATAGTCTCAACTGCAGTCCTTGGATCCGACAAGTCTTTGAACTAGTTTTAGGCCTAGTCTATTCATTTGTCTATGGATAAGTTTTTGAAATAGTTTGTGGACTAGACTATCGATTTGTATATTGTCTTGTCTATGGACTAGTATAGATTAGTCTATTGACTCGTATATCGCACAAAATTATCGACTAGTCTATGTAGTAATGTATAGAATAGTCTATCGACTAGTACATCGGCTCGTATATCAACTAGTATACAAACTGGTCCAGCAACCAATCTATATATAAGTCTCTAAACTAGTATATCGACTAGTCTATGAACTAGTCCAGCAACCTATCTATACACAAGTTTATTGACTAGTCCATGAACTAGTCTATGTAGTAATAATAACAGACTAGTCTATCGCCTAGTATGTCGTCTTGACTATTGCGTTAACTATAGACCGAATTATAATCTTACCTATATACCAGATTATGATCTTAACTAAAGACCAGACTTTTGTTCCAACTGCAGTCCTTGGATTAGTTCTTCGACAAGTCGGTGGACTAGTTTTAGAACTAGTCTATTCACTGTATATGGACAAGTTTTAGAAATAGTCTGTAGAATAGTCTATCTACTTGTAGATTTTGTTGTCTATGGACTAGTATGTTAGTATCAGTCGAATATAAACTAGTATATCGAGCACAAGTTTATCGACTAGTCCATAGACTAGTCTATGTAGTAATGTATAAAATAGTCTATCGACTAGTATATCATCTTGTCTATGGACTAGTTTATCAATTAGTCTACAGACTAGTCTATCGACTAGTATGTCGACTCGTATATCAACTAGTATATGAACTAGTCCAGCAACCAATCTATACACAAGTTTATCGACTAGTCCATGGACCAGTCTATGTATTAATGTATAGACTAGTCCATGGACTAGTCTATGTACTAGTCCAGCAAGCAATCTATGCACAAGATTATCGACTAGACCATGGACTAGTCTATGTAGTAATGTATAAACTAGTCTATCACCTAGTATGACGCCTTATCTATGGATTTGTATATCGACTAGTCTTTAGATTAGTCTATCGACTAGTATATTGATTCATATATCAACTTGTACATCGACTATTCTATGAACTAGCGCTGTAACCAATCTATATAAAAGTCGATCAATTAGTATATAGATTAGTCCATGGCTAGTCTATGTGCTAATGTATAGACTATTCTATCGACTTGTATATCGATAAGTACATCGAGTAGTCGCTATGGACAAGTCTATCGACTAATCTAACCAGTTGATCGATTGTATGGACTAGTTAGTCTGTCGACTAGCCTAGTTAATTGTCTTTGAACTAAACTATGGACTAGTCTATGAATTACTCTATTGACTGATCTTTGGATAGTAAGTCTATCCACCAGTCTATCGATCAGTCGATCAACCAGTCTATCGATTAGTGTATTCAGCAGTCTATCGACCAGTTTATCGTCTAGTCTAGGGCGGTATCTTAAGCTGTGAAAAACTATAGAGAAGAGTACAATAATATAGAATTTTTCATTCCTGGACTGTAATTAAAACTAATTTTGATACATTAATTTTATCGCATTTTTTGAGAATTTTCCAAATTCAGAATCCGTAGAATAGATATTTAGTATAAACTTAAACCATTTTAAGATAATGAACTCTCATTGGAATTCACGATTAGTGAAGACACAAACCCTTAAGGGAACAGTTTGTAATCAATTTCATAAGAATTATACTGTTCGAAAAAGTTCCTTTCTAAAAAAGATTGCCAACTTTCATAATTTCTAGATAAAACAGGGAAAAGTTTTAAGAGAAAATTAATAAATATTTTAATGTAGAAGAACTTAAAGCTTTTTTTGAAATCTGTTAAAAAAATGATCAGTTGAAGTTAGACAACTTTTGTTATTTAACAGAAACTTGGAATAAGTTTAATTTCAAAGTTAGATTTCAAAGTTAAGGAGAAAAATTGGTATCTAAATTTTGAAAAATATATCCTTAAAAACGATCGTCTTTTAAGATTGAACCGATCTTTACCATAAGTTAAACATTTTCTAAATACCATTTGTCAATCTATTCATAAAACCTTGATTATTGTGTTGAAAATTAGCAAAGAATTAAGAAATATTTTCTTATAATTTTCCCATTTTGTTTTAATGAAGTCATACATACAATTTATACTCTTGGAATGTGGGAGGGTTAAGAGGGATCCTGTTTGCCTTATAGTTTGCTTTCAA